ACAATTTTGCACAGGTAGATTATATAGAAGGAATTTTCCGGGAATCGAAAGTCAGGGTAACATGCATTACGTAGTTGTTTGCATTGCTATTATCCTACTACGTAATAATAATTTGTATTGTTTCGTAACAATGCGAGGTTAGCAGTACATGTGTGGAATTGCTTGATAAGACAGATAAAGAAATTTTAGTTCATATTATTTTGTGGAATAAAATTGCTAGTGTCATTAATAGGCTTAAAATCGATAACTAATTACATGCTTACCAAGTGCTTGAGTCGCGAGAAATTAGAAAAAAATTTTGGGGTCGCGGCAAAAAGTAGTTGCAGACTCCTGGTATAGCATATAATGCAAGCACTGCAAACCCAGTGATGGGCTTCAGGGGTTCGAGTGAGCGAGTTTCTGAATGTCGAGATAACAGCAAACACTTCTTGTTTAAGAGCTCAGACGACCGCAACCGCAGTGGTGACAAATATATATTATGCAATAAAGGAACCTGTTGTTAGTGTGTTCGATACATGAGAAAAACCGTTCTTAAAATTTAGAATCCCATCATACTACATACCTGTTTGGGGCATACGTCCCCCCTTTTTTCCTTGCTTGAGTGACCAGCTGGGCCTACCGATGTCGTAGGCCTTTCTTATTCGCATACCACGATTCAAGCAAAGGAGGTTTTCTTCGTACATCTCATTGTTACTCCGATGTTTATATATTACGCCTATCCTCGTACATTAACTAGAGTAACATAAACGCACGTGCGCAACATTGACAACTCCTATGCAGTTAACCTACCTACGCACTAAAAGCTTTTTCACGATAGTTTGTTTACAAACGAAAATTCTGCCGCGGAATTACCTCGTAATGCGTGACATTACATTGGGCGTTTAATTAAAAGTCTTTCTCGGCCGAGCATACATCGCAGTTTGGGCAATTGATTATACTTTCGTCTACAATCAGGAAAAAAAAGCGCAACAGCAAAATATTCTCAGGTTCAAAAATGTTAAAGATTTTAAATTTCTAAGGGGAGGAAAACTAAGCCAAACTAGCGTCTTACTTGCGTACAAAGTGCCTCGTTCAGGTTGAATAAAGCGTTTGAAAATGACCTCACAATCTCCAACAGTTGAAATTGCCGTTCAAATAAGTCCGATTTTCTTAACTGCCGAGACCAGCGATACTAATTAGTAGTCAGTGGCCGCTTCACATAGCCTTGACCCAGAATGAAGACGTGGGAACCTTTATAGTGTGACCTGACGAGAATGTAATTGCGCTGGAGGATGTATGCCAAATCTAACTTTTTGTAGATCTGAATCAGTGGGTCCCGAACCGCGGCCCGCGTAACGATTTAATATGGCTCGCCGAACTTAAGTGAGTGAAACAGTTTAACACTTTATATTTTTACCGTTTAAAGTTATAGATACTGTCAATTATCACAATTCAAGCACGCGTATATACGTAACAATTCAATTGTACCTTAATTATAGGTACTGATGCCGTTATCGGCTTCTTGTGCGCGCTCCCATATTCCGATCCGCGAATATCATTCCTCTTCTAAGTTTAGCCCCCGGTCAATCAACTTCGGGAACCACGGATCTAAATGTTACGGTATGTCATCCCATCCCTGGCATAAATTACTTACTGTTGATAAAACATTTCTGCTGACGAAAATAGTATTGTTATAAGTTCGGCCTACAAAGCATTTTTCACTTAAAATCATGTGAACGACGCGGTCACCCCAACAGTTGTAAGATCCAGTAAAGCAGTGGTTCTCAAACCTCTTTGTCTTGTGACGCCCTCCAGTGAATATGCTCAACAATGCACTATATGTCAATGTTCATAATAAAGGGATTAGAAATGAATGAAAGCCTATCCAGTGTGTGTGACGTCTTAATTGGAATATTAGTGAGGTCACATTAGATAAGGTTGATCGTACAATATTCAAATATATTGTTATCTCCAGTTCTCAAGTGTGATTCAAACGAGAGTTTAGAGTTGGACCTTTTCTACCCGCCGTAGGTATAATTCCGCAAAAGAGGAAAAGTTTTGCGACACCATAGAAAAATTGAAACGACGCACTTTGAGAACCATGAGGTGAAGTATAGAGATAATAAATTCTAGTTAATCGGAAGAGACGACGAATGCCTACGTAACCGCCAGTCAAGCGGTTGGGCTCGCATATAATTATCTCTCACGTGTTTCGAGCGGGGAAACAGTTTAGCGATGGGAATCGAATTTCTGACGCTTAGCACGATGCCATGTGCTGAAGTTCTTCTTGCATATCACTGAATCAATCGAACACTGGATTTTCCTGGCAAAATCGTTGCTCTATCTTAAAAACACACACACACACACGTAGATATATTTTCAATTACTAAATTAACAATATTGTTATCTAATTGCACGAAATCACTCGAGGTAATATAAACAAAATTGAAAACAGAACAAATTTCTGATTGCTAAACATAAGGGATTGGAAGTACGGTAAGTATTTTAGGAATACGTACACACACATAGTGGGTTGGATACATACAAGTTTATTGTAACGGTTTTACATCAGGGGTCTCCAACTCAAATTATGTCGCGGGCCACTTTTTAAAATTTATTGACTACGCGGGCCACAAAGTAACAAATTAGGTACAAAATTAATATACAAAAATTAACAAAGGGAATCTGAATATGTTTGTTGAAATTACACCGGAATCCTATACCAAACGAGACATTAAACATATTCATTTACTTGTACTGGATATATGGCACCGTTTTGTAGTGGTGAGAGACTCGCTGTTTGGCCTTCATACAAACTCTCGTCCGTCCGTTAGTCGTGTGCGAAAGGTTGATTTGTTAAGATTCATTGTTAAGAAAAATAATTGATGCTAATTACTTCACAAGCCTTCAAATCATACACTAATAAAGCTTCCTTCAACAAAAGGACGCGACGATTCCGCGTGTTGGAGACCCCTGTTTCACATATTCTAACGTTGAGGAATATAGCTCAATGTATAAATGTAGCAAATATCATTTTTACTGCGCATTGACACTCAAAAAACACGGTAAATTGAAAATAAATAATTTTAAATTGATTCAATATTTGGCTTTGGACTGATGAACAGTGGAGTTGTAATTATAGTAGGGGAAATCTGAATATGAAATGACAGTGAGGATTGAAGATTTCGGAGAAAATTTCAGAAATAAAAATTATACAAAATATATCAGAGGATAACAATTATTGGCCAGTGTACTATTTACTTTGACCCTTGCATAGTAAATTATCTCTATATAAAACAAGAATTTTAAAGACGACCTTATAAATTTAGATAGAATTGCATAATATAATTAAATTAAAGACTTTATTTACATTCGAAATTCTTGTTCTTTGAGAGATAAACAGCGAAAATGGATTTGGCTTGGGGGATAAGTAGGAAATAGCCCCTTACTCGTTTAAGGTTAGGATATTCATATTTGTTAGCAGAAAAATAGGGCAAATAAATTCTGGAACAGCAAAAATCACGATGAAATCAGGCAGAGTAAGAGTTATAGTTGGACAATTGAGAAACGTTTGTGACGTAAGAAGATGGCAAATCTGCATATTTTTTACTCATTAATAAAGGGTATTGTTTTAACAGCACAAAATAACAAGAATAAAAAAAGTAGAGCCATAGCTAACTGCATGACGATATTCCATTAGATAAGTCATGAACTCGTTTATCAAAAAATTACCAAAAGGAAGAATATAGCCATAAACAGCAGAGAATCGTAAAAAATATTGGTAAATTAATAAACAATTACAAAAAAAATTGAAAAAGTCTAGATTGAACTCCTTGAGAAATCTAAATGATTTTATTGACTTGCATGATAAAGAAAATATAGCAGATAGGGCAACACACAATTTTTTCTTGTTCTGATCTAATAATTTGATAAAAATAAATGATAATAAGTATATGTACATTAAAAAATATGTGCCTTGTTGGATTTTTAGCAATAGGCCAAGTACGATGCTTCGATATAATATAACTTTGCTTGACATGCAATACAGGTGACAGTCAAACCTATGAAATGGCGACAGTAAATTTGCCTAACAGAAAATGTGCCAAAAAATCCTTATAACATTAAATTGAAACAAATATATGAGAACAAACAGCCAATTTTTTATAACTTTAATTGATTAACATGAAGTAAATATCAAACATCAGCCAAGAACAAGTAAAAAAATTGAATATGCATTCAACTGAATTCAATATGGATTCAACTTAGATTCGATTAACTGGGAAAAATTTCAATTTCAGCTGGACTTGCGAATTTCAGGCAAACACTTATGTAAAAAATGAGTGATACTTGTGATCTTTGAATGTTTAGTACTTTAGTTGTATGTTTTGAGTGCTTTTTCAATTACTTTTCTGCACATAGGACACTGTGTGATTGCCTGCGTACACTCCATGCAACAAATCAAATGAGAACAAGGAAAAAAAAACATATCAGCGGGATTGCTGAAACAGATTTTACACATTCTCTCTTCTTTTATTTTGTTCAGCTCCTGAAGAAATTGATTTTCCATTATCTGTCATGAAACAAAACACTGAGTAGTCAGTTCAAAATCCTTTCGACTACTTCAAGATTATGCCTTAAAAAATATTTGAGGAAAGGCACACTTAAGCATGGATACTAGGTGTGACGTCATTGGTGGCTTCTTAGTGTTTGCACATATGAGAAACATGCATCTTCTGCACTGAATATTCAGTAATGAGATAGCAAGCATGTTCCACACATGAAGTGCGCAATGACAACAATCACCATATACATTTTAAATAAAATTGCAAATCTCATAAACTCTCTGAAAAAATTCAAGAGTAGAATGTGGAACAGACAGAAGTATATGTTATGATATGAAAAACACGAATACATACCTGAAGTGCAGAAACTTCCTCAGCAGGCTGCATTTGAATTGCTAATAACAAAAAACAGAGTTTAAACCTAATATTCCCAGACTTACTAATAGGAAAATAAAATTGATAGATTTATAGGCAGTTTTATACTTTAATTGGCCAAAGCAATAGCGCAATGTCAGTTCAGTGAATAAAAAGGGGGAACATACCTGCACTGACATGGGCACTTCAGAAGTATGTGTACCCATAAGGAGGTAACTAATTTTGTTCGGCTATTTTACATCAAGTTGTGTAAAGGTAATGAAACCTATGGTCAGGGGGATGTTAACTTTGCCAACACAGACAGTCCCGAACTCGTAAGAGAACTAAAATAAGGAAAATCGGAATAAAACTATGGCATAACCCCGCTGGTACACATACTACGGAAGTACCCAGGAGTGACTGCACTGGTGACCACTGAAAAGACCAATATGAAACTAGCCATAATATGATAATGACCATTTTGCTATCTCACTAGAGAATAATAAACATGATGATAAAACTACAAGTGAACTTGCATAAATTCTTTTTAAATTGAAAGCAAAAACTAAAGATAACTTCACCTTCTTGGCTTGGTTCACCATCTACCTCCATGGGCTGTGGCTCTAATTCTTTTTTCTTCTCTATAACAGCATCCAATAGTTCTTCAATAGGAATGTTTTGTAATTTTCCCTCTCGTAGTTTCTCTCCAATAACGATTCGAACCTGCACAAATAATAGGTTTATTATGATATCTGAGAAGGGTATAACAATCTATAACCAAAACTGAACAATCCAGTATCCCGAATTCACTCTTTAACAAAATCTTCCAATGTAACTATATCAAATATATTCCAATTTACCATGTTCACTTGAAGCTGAAAATTTGGGATAGAACAGGGTTCCCAAACTGGGGTACGTGAGGACTACGCAGGGGGTCCTCATTCCTCAATGATTTTAATAGTCTGAAATATATACGTTTAACATATATCCAGTGTTACATAGACATTCATAAACGAGATACAGTCGTAACTTAATGCAATCGCAAATGGTAATTGTTATGAGACCTTAACAATGGGAGTGAAAAAAAAAAAAAGTTGTTGTAAATGTAGACGATCGTTGCTTTCAGCGTCTGTGAGGTAGACCTCTGTCATAGAGCTACATCACCGATAATAATTGACTGTATGCGTTATTGAGTTATCACCAGTCGAGAACTTGTGCAACTTTGCCAAGGTCATTTGAGTCCCGTTGTAACAAGAAAGAGGCGTGAAACCCAGTTAAGTTTATTGTGAGAGGCTATTCAAGTATACGCAATTAAATTAATTCGTTGTTGTAGAATTGGGCCTACGAATTTGCTTGTCACAAATTGATCCGTCACTTTAATGTTGTTTGTGTTGTTGTGTTCTAAATCAAAATGGACCATTATCCTTCTGATGTTTTGAAAAAATTAATTTTGGCTTTCGGGAATAAAATATTGCTAGTGCTAAATTTTAATAGATAAATATCGCATTACGGTCTTCATCATAAATAAAGCATATCATATCATTTTTTTTCAAAAAAAAACATGAAAGCAATATATTCTAAATATCACTGATCATTAGGTGTGTATCCTAGTTGGATTCGTACATCTTCCGGCAATGAAATCAAACTTACTATTCTTTCAGAGAATCCCATCGATAGTATGTTATTCACATCGTCAGACTCTTTCATATATTTTTCTACTGCTTCTTCCATCTTTCTTTTTTCTTCCTGAAAATAGTGAAATAGGTTGAGTATAAACATGTTTGAAAAAAACTTTTTTGTTGGGTGCAATGTGCAACACTACTCCTAGTGTAAGCTCCACCTGAATATCTTCTTTTGGATCATTGCCATTCGTCCAGGTTGTCCAACTCTCTGACCCCAAAAAGTAACACCCACAGTTCTCCTCCATTCAGGGGCCATGTTTGCCTCATGTTTTCAAGCAACCATTGGACGAGCAAGATGTAAATTGAGAGGCAAATGACTTCACACGAAATGTGACAGAAATTATTTTTACAATATGGATGAAACGGACCTGTGAATCGATTATCACAGGAGGAGTTGTTGCGCTCTACTTACATTCGCTGGAATATCATGTGATTCTCCTGGCTGGATAGCACCCTCTAGTGGTGACCCATCTTGCCGAGCAATGATTGGACGATTAAGATGTGGACTGAGAGACAAATGCCGATACACGAAATGTTGTCCCTTTACTTGCAATAAAAACTGACAGGTTGGAAACCATTTTGCATGCTCGATCCATGGCATGTCGTCGTATTCCCAATTCTGGAGACCGCCGTTACAATACCAACATTTAACGCGGTCTCGTTCTCCTGAAAAATATGTTTCAAATTTGTAGGATCCCAAAAAAATGTTCAGTTATATAAAGTAAGAACATAAATGCATCAGAAGCTTGATGGTTACCCTCACACAAGATTGGAATCAGTCTTATTGAAAGTGATACATTGAAGGTATAACGACAAATTACCTAGAAAAAAGAATCCAGCTTGTGATATTTCTGCAGGAGTTGCAGCTGTTCTTCCCACCGGCAATCGATGATCAAAAGTATCTTGTCTTGCAACCTCATTGCTCATGTGTGGATTGGATGGAAATCTGCATGGATAATCTCTCGCACGATCTGCAGGTGGGTCGGGAAACTCATTTACTTTGTAATTACGTTGTTCGGTTCCGAGAACAATTTTACAATTGGGAAAATGAGATCGATGTTCTGCCTGTAAAACACATATTTTTCAAAAAAATCTCTCAAATCGTTAAAATGGATCATGTGAAGTGCTGGCTGGTTGATGCATGCTACTACTGTGCATTATAAGACTCTCGCAATTGCACATTCCATCAACTTGACTTGTATTGTATAATGTATACCAAGGGTGTGCAACCTCCAATACATGAGGGCCAGATACAAATAACTAGGTGAAACCGTGCTTCGCCAAAGCTAGCTGTTAGGGCATTGTAACGTCATGGGCACAGATAAACCAAAAGTAGATACAATTGGACTCGGATATAGGCTTGGTGACTCGCACGTACAAGATTAAACTGAATTGAAAACATGTTACGCGGGCCTCACAAATTTTCTTTGTGGGCCGCGTTTGGCCTGCGGGAACCAATCATATTTACAACTCAATTTTAAATTTGTAACAGGAGGTTAAAAACAGACAAAGATGATGGATTGCTTCGAGATTATAATGTAATTAAACTGCACTCACCATTGCGTCATCCTCAAGTGTCCAATTACTCAAAACTCCTCCGCATGAGAAGCACTGAGTTCTGTCCATGTCACCAAGATAGAAGAATCCTGTTCTTGCTAGAGCAGCCGGTGGCACACTCGGGCGACCAACGGGCCATCGTGCAAATGATGCAAGTCTGAAAACAAAGTTTCTTTACTAAAAAAAAGCTAATATATAGTAGAATACTTGTTTAAAATTATGAAAGGACATAGGAAGACTATGCAGGACAGCAAATTCTGATCTGATTATTTTAAAAATAGTACATCCTGCATGTCTGGTGCTGTTTTGGGGTGCTTTCCTATATGTATATATTTTTTTTAATTTGTCATTGCTATTGTTATGTAACCTAATGTCTAATGAACCCATAACATAAGCAAACAGAACAAAAGCCTCGATGACCTTCATCATCCTTGTCGACTGAATCCCCACACATAATATTTCCATGAAATAAGGTCATATTATGGCAATTTTTGTTTTCATTATGTTAATGTTGTTCGTGAAAAAATAATCTCTCTCTCCCTCACCTGTCAAGTTCTCTGTTCAAATGTAAATTAGTTAAAAATCTTCTGTGATCAGATGAAATCACATTTTTCCATTCTCCATCTTCTTGGTTGGGATGAATTACCGCCATTTCCAGTATTTTGAAGTCCTGGACCGGTTTGTATTCTTATTGTATTATTAGAGCCAATTTCAAATGTGCCTCCTAAAAATAAGATTTTTATCATATGTACTTTGAAAATCTAAAATATTAAATTTGCATTTTCTTGCAGATTTAAAAATTTGTGGGCCAAGTGGGTGAAACGCTGGAATTGGGAGAATAATTGGGTGCTGTGGACAAAAGCACTTTGAGTAGCAATTGAGTAGAAAGCTATTACAGGTAAAAAGGACAGAACCATTATGGTTCATGCTATACCCAAGTCCATACATCTGAAATGAATACCTGACTAAATAGTTATATACCCTACATGCATTGGTAACCGGACGAGTGGCCATGGTGCACTATATGAATGAGCAGTGTTATCAGTTTTCCTCTCCCCCAGGATAAATATAAAATCCTATACCACCAAATCCTAACCCAATTTTCTACAGAGCTGTGAGAGTATTTTATAGTTTTATGAAGTATATTTATATAACACAGTTTCACAGTATTGATCTTCTTTTGCGAAAGAATGCATGATATACACTTTCTATAAATAGCACTTTTGCAAAACTGTCTCAACTGTCCAACTAGGAAGCATATCAAATAAATGAGATACTGTATTGATTGAGAAACTCCCATAAGAGATTTATTGCTCTAGGCTTTAATATTCCCTTTAATGAGACCTAACTCATGGTTTGCTAATAGGGGAAACACAGTTGACTTTGAGTCTGGCACGTTTGGAACATGCTTGCTATTGCAACAAGGATTACTATGTACCGGTTCAAGTCCGGGAGATAAATATTTGCAAAGAAATTGCTGAACTTTTCTTAAAAGAGTTGAAGAAATCTGGCTGGTTGCAACTTTCACCGCCATCAAGTCTATGCATCTGAAACAAATAACTGTCTAACTAGTCCCATTCCTGACATGGACGAGAGGTTGTTGTTTGCATATGATTAGGTAATTTTATCAGCTTCTTCATTCACAGGAAATCAGGAATAAATATGAAAAGACCTGTCGTACCTGTTTGTCGTACTCTCTCTGGCAAATCAGCAGGATAGTGGACAGTTCTTAGAACATTTCCTGTGTTCTGGTCAATTTGTTGCAGAACTTCTTCCTGGAAATTTTATAAAAGTTCAATCATTTCATTATATTTGGGTAAAAAATGAACTAGTAAAAGAAACGTCATGTAAACATATTGACTAACATAACGAGCTGTGGAGTTGGGAAAATATACATTTGCCATTGATTTTTGATTTTGAAATACTTCCTGATTATGAGATGTAAAACTCAGAAACTAATAAAAACATTTTATATTCCATCAAAAATTGTACCTTTATGGGGGAAAACAGAAAAATAAAAACAATAATAAAATAATATTTTCAATCCAAAATAAAAATTCACGGGGGATGTTATTAAAAAAAATATTACCGTAAGTTAGGTGATTATAAAAAAAGGAACAATATGAGGTTTGCAAAAACAAACCACTCTGAAACCAAATATTAATTCCATTGTTGTACAATAGCAACAATATGAGAATAATGGAAAAAATTCACCTTTTAAATAACTAGAAAGCCAGGGTTAAAATAGAAAATATTTTGAGTACAAAATATACTACAAAAAACTAGAAACTAAATTGCACCATAAATCTGGAAAAGGGGAACTAATTAGCATAATGGAGAACCTTAGAACCAAGAATAGGCCGTATCTTTGCAGGGTATTCTATTTAAAGAAATGCTTTTAATTGCTTACAATGATTGATAGTTCATTTCAAATTACAAGCTCCCACTAAGCGGGGGAAATTCTTTTCAATTGCACCATCTTGTTCAATTTGTTTCGTTCATATGATATTGGTTGCTATTTATACAATACACTTGTGTGTTTTTGGCCATAATGAATACCTCCTCTGAGAAATGGGAGCTCCAGAAGTATGTGTACCAATATGGAGGTAACTAATTTTATTCACCTACTTTACATCAAGTTGTGTAAATGGACAGAAACCTATGGGCAGGGGTATATTCACTCAGCTAACACAGGCAGTCCCGAACTCGTAATACAACTAAAGTGAGGAAAATCGGAAGGAAATTATGTCATAACTTTAACCTGGTACAAATACTACATAACTACCGGGAAATGTGGAATGTAACCAAACGCTTTTCAATGGTTTTGGAAATGAAACCTAATGAACACCTGGGAACGCTCAATGGAATTTATTTAGGTTAATTGGAATGCCACAAAATGTACCAGTGTGTAAATATAATAAAATAAAGATGTCAAATTTCAAATAAAAACCATAAATTGGATTAGGAAACATAAAAACTTAAAGTTTCAAAATAGTAATCCATGATTTTGAATCGTAATTCCCAAGTTTTTTATAATTGAAATCGAAAAACAAAATGCTTTTACACTTATACATTGAAACTTTTTCTATTAACTTTTTTTTGATGTTCTAACACAAAAATGCTATCCTCTTTATTCATATTCATGCTTTATATATTTAAGTGAAAATTAAAAAAAAAAGGTTCAATAGCATATATTAATTGTGGGAATTTCCCTAAAAATACACTATAACGCAACCAGCCTTTTCATTAAATTGAATGATGGGAAGTAAAAATGGAATAATGTAAATAGAGAAATTGGTTTCAGTTAGATTGATTGCCTGGAAAACCAGCCTTATAAAAAACGTCTTCTCAATTAAGGTACTACTGTAATTAAATGGTAAAACTACTAAACATAAATTAGGTTTTTGAGATAGAAAACTGACGTTCCCTATTTTTTTTTATATTTCTATAATTTTAAAATGTCTAACTAATATTGCAAATTGCAATGCTCGAGGGGTTGTTTATACAGTAGGTAAATGGAATTCATCTTTAATTAAACGCATGTCCATAAAACTAAGTCCAATAAAAAAATTCCTGTTTTGCAATGTTACATCACTTTCTATTTTATTGCTAAACGAATACCACCACAGTATAATATACTTTGTTCCTTATAAACCAAACAATAGTTCAAATGGGATTTTTCACCAGGGGATTACCTATTAGAACATATAAGTAAATGCGCAACAAAAATTTGTCGCCATTCAATATATATACTATATTCCCGATATATCTTAACCAGGTTTGTTTCACTTTGATTAAGTTTTTTAATTCAATTAATGATATATCCATAGCAGCTATCTTTGCAATTTTAAATTTTTTCCGAACACAGTGTATATTTTCAGTTTTGACACATACCTGTTGTCTGGATGAGCTTGCTTGTGCATTGCTCCGATTGAATAAACTTTTCATTGGGATGTTGCCGCTGTCATGTCCTCTTATAAACAGACAATCATTTCTGAAATTTTGTAGGAATAAGAAATAAACGAAACTTTACGTACAATCAATTTATAGAACGTGGATGTTTCCTAATCCCCATATTATACACTTCATTATATATTTCCCTAATAATAACCAATCAATAATATAATGACCAAAATAAAAATAAAAAGTTAGATATAATCATTGGGGCAACACATAGATATAATTATTGGGGCAACACATCGATGTCTCCCAAGCTGCAACTTCCTTGTGTATATCCATAAGAGTGACCAATCAGGAATAAGTTATCCACAATATAATAATTGCAATTAGCCAATCACCCAGATACCTTTTTCACTCAGAAAGATTTCTCATTTTGAGCAAACTAGTGGTCATATTGACCACCCTTTCGAGAGTTCAGCAAATATTCAAGTCAAATTAATCAATCAATTAATTAACCAATGATGCAAATGGCAAACTTATTCATAAGGCTTAGCACAACTTGCCAACTATATAATAACATCTAAATTCAAGTTAAACTTACTTATGCCATCTTATATCAGAAGGACTGTCTATATCATTCCATAGTTCTACAGTTCGTGCGCAGCAGAAGCATTTTACACGATCGAAAAATCCGGTGAAATAAAATCCTGCTTTTGCCAGAGATTTTCTGGTAGTTGGAGAAGAAATTGGATAATGCTCATATGTTGATAAACGATATTGTTCAAGTCTGCTGTCACCTAAATATTAATTTTGTAAGACTGGTTTATCCTTGAGAAGAATCAGAAAATAGTATGGGCTTCTGCTGTACCATTGCGGCAATTTACAACATGATACAATGAAACGTTAATGCATGGTGGACATGCCGCCTAATAGTGTCCCGCTTTATTTTACTATATATTTTATATTCACTGAGTGAGTCTTGTAAATAACTTTTGTGCAATTTTGTTCAACATGCAAAATTTCTGGAATTGTCCCGAAGAGTCACTTCACTTGGAATAGCCCGTTTGTTCTAGATGTACGGATTTTCGGAATATGTCATAATTTAACCCAAATTCCCATACCTGGTGGAATATAGATGCTTTGTTGTCCTGGAGGATCTCTTATATCATCAGATACAGCACCATCACTCTCAATATCACCAAAACAGTTCTGTAAACTTACATAAGAACGACGACCACAACTTGAACTGGGAGAGTGATAGCTGTAAATTAAAAGCGCAGAAATTCAAAATACAGACAGAGACAATTTTTCCAACTAAACACAGTATTAAAAATATCAAAATTGGTTGCCAACATTACTTTTAACTATTAGTAGGCCTACTTGTGTTTCAGACTGAAACTTTCAGTACGAATGCTGCTGCAAAAAATCAGTAATTAAAATGATCACACAATATTAATCCAATACTCGTGTCAATACCAAAAATTTTGTCAAATGACAATGACCCAAAATTCATTAGCTTCTTCTCTTAAATAACAAAATATTACATGTTGGAATAACGAAATCAAGACTTGATCTTACTTTCCCAGTTCATGATGTGGCATCAAAGTTTACTTAAAAATAAAAATAGGAAAAGCAGCCTGGAAGACTCTCGAAAACTTGATAATACAGAGAATTTTAATAAATGTGAGGTGCCATGCTCGCTCATTCATTTCTAATGAAACTGTCTGAAAAAAATTTGGGGCAAAGAATCCTGTATATTAGAGGAGAGAAAAGAGGACAACGAATAATTTATTTTGCCAATTACAAAGAAAAAAGATTACAAAATTCGTGCATGTGGCAAGCCATGGACTTTGATTAGTTTATCAGTCTAAGATTGGTTAGTCAGTTATTGTAATGAGTTATGTGAGTAGAAGTATGACAATTTTATTTGAAAAATTAAGCCTGAAAAATAGTAAGCATTAATACAAAATTCGCCAAATTCCAGACAAACTTTGAAATTTTTGAAAAATTTATGTAGTATTGTAAGGTTAACAAATACATAAAACTGGTTTTCATTTAAACTGACTTAAATTTCACTGAATACAAGACTAACGATGGTAATACTGAATTATCCCTTGCTACTGTAACCATACTTAATAAGATACCATTTCTGTTCATTCATGAGCATTTCCCTAACACTGATTTCTAACATTAAATACTATCCAAACCTGTTATTTATTTAAAAAGATTCTATCTTACATTATCACACATAATAGGTTAAGCTGCTCTCAGCTTGGCATAAAAATTCAAATAATAATTGGACCATACAACACAATATTTATCAGATTCTAAAATATGTAGAACGTGATAAACAACACAACAACACGTTAAACAAACAAAGAACAGTCGAGTGTGATCTCGCACATTCACCACCGACGTCAATAATAAAAGGAACTATAGGTATTGAATGACGCACACGACCGACCGTCTGCTCGCCAACAAGTTAAAAAGGTCAAAATCAGAGCAAATATATACCTCAACTACCTCATGCATTAGGTTTCCATTTTTTGAAGTGTAATTTGATATTCTACCGCTACCTTATTTCAATTTCAATTTTTTCTTGACAAATAAGCTGATTTCAAATTTACTATTTTAAATAATTCCATATTATAATTATGGCCATGGAGTGCAGTATTGCAAAGTATTAATCAAAATTCGGTTTCAGTTTGATGTGGTCAGGTGGGCCATATTGAAGTACCCAACTGACCGGATTTCGCCAGTGAGCTGTAATTTACCAATGTCCACCTTATACCATCAAAAGAGAGTAGTCAAGTAGTGATATGTAAGGGACTTCTATGTTTTGGGAGGACCGGAATTGCTGAACTGTAATAATTTATAAAGAAAATGGTTTTTTAGAATTATGAGAAACATGCACCTTTTATAAGAACAGGACAAGCAGTTAATGATGTGGAGGACATTTTAAATTTATGAAGAACTTCAGATATAATTTGTTTATGCAGAACAAGGCTTTAGTTATCAAACTAAGTTGATAGTTTGAGAATTTAGTAATACAGAAGGTTGAACATTGTTTTCATCCGTTTTCTACAATTAAATTGAGATTATTCTTAGTCTGCCAGCCAACTCAAAATGACATAGCGCAAAATGACAATTTTAACATGAAAATAATCCAAAATACTCAACCAAATACCCCAATTACATCTTGATACAACCAAATACCCCAATCGCATCTTAATACAATTAAAAACCCAAAATACATCTTAATACAGGAGTGGGCAACATACAACACGCGGGCTGGGTCCGGCCGGCGACAAGATTTTGACCGGCCCGCTGACTGTACATCAGTACATTATGATATTATATTATTACACTTCTAGTACATTATGATAAATTCATTATGTGTTTTTTGGTCTCTATTTTTTGTAAAGTTTAATCTTTACTTTAAACACGATTTATAATTTTCTTACTTGCATTAGCAAACATATATGTGATTAAGATATTGAATACTATTCATGTAATAATTCGGCCCACCGAAAACTTTATTTTCCCACAACTGGCCGACTAGAGAAGCTGCTCACCACCGTCTTTACAACCAAATACCCAAATTGCAACTTAATACAACCAACACCAAAAATACATCCTAATACAACCAAATACCTCGATCACATCTCAATATAATACAACCAAACGCTCCCTAAGATTATTTTGATTTCACATGCATCCAAATATTCTATTAGTTTCTGATAACCAAGGGATAGCCAGCTATAATATTTCAAAACAATTTGCCCAAGGTGAGGGGACTCAGTGTCATCCCAGTAAGAAAAAGTAAAAAGCAACATATAACCAATTACGTCAGAGAAAAATCAATCGTTTGAGATAGTAAACAAATCTGAGTGATAGCAAGTTTTGTGCCAGTGATCGTAATATACAGGGTGTTCATTATGTTCTAAGTTTTTTTTAAATTGCAAGTATATAGCTTGTTGGCCCCTGAAGATGTAATGAATGAACTAAAAAAGGTTGAATGAACTAAAAAAGGTTAAATGAACACTATTAGAATAAAAATAAGTTTGGTTATTAAGAGGGGTGGGCAAAATCGAATATTTTTTTCGAATCGAATAGTTCGAATATTTTTAACGAATACCGAATAGTCGAATAACGAATATTTTTTTTATACACAACAGGAGGTCTACAACGTCGGTCGATACTCCCTTTGGAAATTAATAAAGACATTGAAAAATCGGCTACAAAGCGTTTTTTTACTGGTTAATTTCGTCATAATCGCTGATTGTTTTTGTCGCCGTGACCGTTTTTGCGGCGATATATAATCTATAATACCGCCCTTTCTGTTATTTGCAAGTATTAATTCTTTCGGGTCGGCGGACATCGACGTTTATATTTCGGGTTTACCCGTGCGTTCACGTCGCCAACAGCTGTTAAAATCATTAAGGATTGATGTGAAAACCCAAAATAATATTATTCTCATTTTTATCATTTGCGTTGGCTTTCATATTACTTATCAACGTTTGTAAATTTACCGTCATAATATTAAGCGAACGGTAATATTATTATCGATACCGGGATGTAGATATTTATTAAGACAATACCGTAATTAAGTTTGCTATGCTTTTCTATGGTGTCTATGTTACTTTACAGATAAACCTCGCAAAGCTGCGATTGCGTCAATCCCGAATGTTGATTTAAAATAGTGACCAAATAATTCGACAAAGGCATTTCTGCGTGGCCATATGACGAGATGACGTTAATAAACAGCGCTACTTGAATAATAATTTACATATGCGACCTAATGCTGAAAAAAATTGCGCTTTTTTACTTTTATGTCTAATAGATGGCCAGGCGCTAATTATAACTAACTCTTCCAAGTTCCGACGTTTTCTTTCAACAAACCGCGTGATCATTATAGCTAATATCGTTACCGAGTAATTCACAATTTCATTTACGGAATTTGCGAATTCACTTTTACTTCTCTTGACAATTTTGATAATGTCACGCCCTATTTATTAGTGCAAAAATGCTCAAAATATAACGAATGTAATCATTTCCGACGATACAACAATTCGTAAACGAGACAGTGCGCGTTGTTACACCGAAATTCACGATTGATTTTACGCCATACTCCTGTTCACGATTTCTACACTCCACCCGCCATGCATGCCCGAGTGGAATGTTTACACTTTTGAAACATTATTTGGTCAAGAATGAAAGGGATCACTAAAGAATTATTTGAAAGTACATTAAAAGAACTATGTCCTGCCACTTCTTTTCTGGTCATAGCTTGTTCGTGTTATACTATGTATGGTTTCACGCAAAAGTTAATTCAACTTTTAATTTTCGTTAAACAAATTTATGTTTGGTTCATGCATGAAACGGCTAATCACGCGCCGCCCATCACACGGATTTAAAAAAATCTGGAATATTTATTTTAAATACCTCATCTGATTTAACATTTCTAAATTTATGGAACGGTGTCGGTACCTCTTTGTGCAACATATGGAATTGAAATGAACAATCGAAACGCAAAGAAAACAAATAACACCTCAACGCGAAGACGATTTTTCAAATTTGTGGCTTTTGTCTCCTAGCGAGCGTTGTAGGTGAATTCTCGCGCAATTCACGATCGGTTCAGAGACGTTCTGTGTCCAAGTGAAGCGACGCAGATCACGTGGTACCCGATATTCGAATAGTAAAATGCCATTAGAATAATTTAATATTCGATTCGCTATTCGTTATTCAAATATTTTGCCCAGCCCTAGTTAAGATATATTGAAAACTGAAATTAGAAGGGCACTTCCCGAATACCATATAGATTTTAAATATGCAGTGAATGGCCTCCATATGAAGAAACAGCTTTCATAGGTTGGCTATGATTAACTGCTCTTCAGTTATTTATATATCCCATGAAAAAAGACAAGGGAATAACCAGTGTGGTCTACCCGGAAAAAATAATGATGTGTCATGAACATTCCATCTGGCCATCATCATATAACAGGAATGATGCAATTTTTAAAATCAAGTTACATTCCCAGTGGATTTCATGGTTAGTCCATATACCGTCATATCATTACAACTGGTAGGAAGCAAATAAGTTTTGACAATATTCTTATTGTTTATACAGACCAGAGCTGTGAAAAGTTATTATTTTCTACAATTAAATCAAATCAAGCTTATGTTAGCCATTACTACATCAAATATATTCATTCAAATGCATCCAAATATTATATAAGTTTCTAAAGCCCTAGGGACAACCAGCTATAACAGTTCGAAAGAATTGCCCAAGGTGAGGTCACTGGCACCCAAATAAGAAATAGAAAAAGGAGATGTGATTCAAAGGGGATATACCTATGTGCTCGGTAGAAAAAAAAAGACCATTTATTGAGGTATACAGTTACTGCAGACCTGTCATCCTTATATAAAATTGAATTTTAATCCCAGTGGGGAAACCAGACGTATTCGAAGCCTGTAAAGCACAACTGGTAAAAAGCAAAGTTTTGACAACACTTATTTTATACAGACCAGGGCTGTAAAAATTTACTTTGACATCTGACTCCCGAATTCACAATAAATCCAGATCATGTCAGAAATGAAACACGAAAGTAATGTACAGCCTTATGGACACAAAGTGTGTAACACCAGTTACCTATAAATAATCATATATTATGTTGGTAGACTCAGCAAAGATGTGGCAAAATAAAGTGTTCCCAAGATTTAAAAAAACAGCCCGGTAAACTCTATTGAGAACATGTAATATAAGAACTTAATGAACCAAAAATCATAAGAAGATGAATCAGTAAAGTTTATGAATCAGGATCTGCTGTTACCTGCGGACTACAGTGCCAAATGATTAACAGGGAAATACCCATGTACATGGACAACTATGGATAATATTTTATCACTGACACTTATACTAAATATAGACACAAAGTGTCACAATCACAATAACAATTTCAATAAAATGTATACTCTGCCTCTCTAATTACATATCAACATATAATACATTGCCCTAAATTTTATTAAAGTACCTGTACAATTTAGCACTTCAAAGGCCATCCCAGCCTCACTAAAATGAAATGATATCTGAAATTCTATTCAGTTACTGTTACCACAAAATAAATTGAATAACAGGGTCGACATTCATTACAACAAACAATGCCGTCATGGACAATATCTTGTGTAAACAAAAAAGGAAAGAGTTCTTCAATGTAAATATAGACTGACATTTTTCAAATATTTCAATCCTAATAGATCTTGTGAAAATGTATATTAATCATTCAATCAAAAACAGGTAAATCCCCCAATCTAAATATAGACCACATTCCAGAGATAATAAAACTTGCAATATGTGTATTTTCAATTCGATCAGGGTAAGGTCAAATAATAAGGATTGTATTTTCGATATGGGCGACATTTATTACACGAAACAAACAATGTCGCTATGCCTCAAAAATTGATTCACCAATGGATATTATCTTAGTGTAAACAAATTATAAAAAAGTCCCTTAATCTAAATATAGACAGACACTTATCAAAGCTAATAAAACTCGTGAACATGCTTATTTTTCATTCGATTGGGGTAAGGTCAAAAAATATGGATAGTATATTAATAACATTAGTTGGTAGTTTCAACGCAAGTAAGCATGATTGTTCTGACAGTAATAAATTAGACAAGGGATAGTAGAGATTTCAAATCTTAGATGTTTCAGTTTTAAATAGTGTTAGTTAAGATAGATCCTGCATTGAAAGGATTTGTAAATTTTATGTTAAAAGTAGACTTATCTTTCTATCATTCTTGGGCAAGAAGTTTTGAATTCCAACTATTATCGGCTATTCGGCTAACTTTAGAATGTCAGTTTTAGCTTGTAATTAATCTATCATAGCTATTTCCACATTTAGTCGCTTTGAACTTGAATAAAATATATGGTATAGATTACCAACCTTGAATTTTGAAGATTTCCACATCCTGGATGATGCCATCTTGGGTTTGCTGGAGGACGAGAAACTACATCTTCAATGCGAACTTGGAGAGAGCAACTGAAAAAAATAGGTAAATTTAGATTATTTTAAACATTTTTTTACAAATAAGTGCTTACCGTGAATTGATATTTGATAGACTTGATCTTGCCCGCTCTATTTGTTTTTAAAACTTTTCATTCATTTCATAATTTATGTTCAATTCACGTATTTTTAACATGTTTTTTGAATAAAACATACTTCCACCTTAAGATCTGTTATTTGTAGCTTGTTATTAACTAGTTATTTTTGACGTGGGGCGTGAGACTTGACAAATTCTAAAAAGGGGGCGCAGCTCAAAAAGTTTGAGAACCATTTAGAATAAAGAGCTATGTGTATGCTTCAGCTGGTGCATAACTAGCTACTTACTCTTTTTGTGAGGCCGTAAGACAGGGTCCTCGCTAGAGAAACAGAAAATTTGTCAAATAGCTATTCATTTTAACATAGAATAACGTCTACAAAGTTTTTTGAAGGCATATCTAATATTAAACTCAAAGATGCTCGAAAAGTCAATGCGGTATCAACCTAAATCTTGAAAGAGATAAAATTGTATTTAAAAAGAAATGAGTTTGCACAAATTCTATTTGTGATCTTATCTGGCCTTCAAATTTTCTGCTTTTTTAGCGACCACCCTGTATTTTTAGTTCAACATTACTCACCCGATTTATTGCATCCTGGGTGAGATAGGGGTAGTGGTTATAACTTGGTGACACATATTTTAAATTTTGATAAAACAATCTACTGATAGACTATTACAAACCTGTAACAAGCTAATGTATTGTCAAAAATAACATAGAATCCAGCTCTAGCAAAGTCTTCCCAGGAATACCAAGAGTTTATCCTCAGTCCTTGAAATGTTTGAAAACGTGACAGATAATCTGAATATAGCATATGTATTTAAATGGAAAATATATTACTTTTCTTTAAGGCTTATCACTGCCCGCTCGCAAATTTTCTATTAAGACTCTCTCCTATTTTTAGTTGATAGCTTGGGAACTTGCCATGAGAAAAAAATAGTACAAAAAGTTGGAAGCAAAACTATCCCATGAGTTAAGTATACTACAGCCTACAGGTTGAGTATTTTTGAATATTTATTTTTATTACTCTTGATTTGTTCATTTTGGACAAAAACAATAAATTTGGAAAATAAAAGTAATTTTTGCTGATAGATAATTTGAATTGATTGATTCAGCCAGTTTCTATGATTGTTACACATTTTAAAAACAAAATTTTTGGGCAATGTGGGTTAACTCAAACTAACTATAACACGTCACAAGAAAATTGATAGATGAGATGTATGAAGCCTATCTATCATTATTAAATACAATTAATTTAGATTGAAAACTCTTAAGATGAGTTAGTTGAAAAATTAAATACCTTCTGAGTTGAAAGTTGCAGTGTCCACTGGAGGAATCGTATTCAAACATTCGGAGAGTTCTTCGTGTTTGAACGACCATTCAAAAATGTTTTGTGACTCATAATTTTCTTTCTTTTTGTAAAATTGGAATTCATCTTCTAAAAATGCTTCCGATTTTTGATATGGCTTTTCTTTGCGGCAAATTAAGAGGTCGCACCAATGTTCCAACTCATCTTCAAAAGCCTTGTTTTGTTGGAAAGGTTCAGGTTCAATCTCTTTAGTTTCGCTTCCTTTGGCAACACCACTTTCTTTTTCTGGATCTTTATCATCGCTTGTAGTTTCACTGGCCTCACAACATAGAGATGGAAGTTTTGAGTTTTCAATAATTTTTGTTTGATGGGTAGATTCATTTCCATACTCATTTTGACATTCACTTTCCGAACCGAATTCTTCTTCTGCTGTTCCTGGATTTTTGTTTTCAGCGTTGCTTATTGTTTCACCTATGCCTAAACATTGAGCTTGAAAAGCTATTTTATCAACAATTTTCTTTTCGAGGAAAATAGAATTTGAAGTAACATGACTGTGCCTGGATACAGATTCAATGGGTTTCCAAGACCATCTATCTGTTGTAGAATCGGTGTCATCTTTGTTCTTCAGATTAAAATTGCTGGGAATTGTGTCCTTCTCTTTCTTTATATCTTTATTGTAATATGCTTTTCCTTTTTCGTAAATAAATTCTTCCGATTTTATCAAATTATTGAGAACAATATTGTCATTAAATATTGTACAACTGTTGACCAGATGGCCCATCTGGTAAAAGCGAGATTGAAATTCTGTCGATGTTTCATGGTTAAATGAGCTCGCTGCTGTTGCGTCATTATTACAGCCTGAGATTCCAGATTCAGCCCGTTTTTGTCGATTTACCCAACATTCTGTATGGACAGAAATCTGCGTTCTGATTTGATCAGAAACTTCATTTTTCACTTGTATATTGTTAACCTCTTTTTCATGATCTATGTATTCCTTCCAATTAATTCGGGGCTTTGAATTTCTTGAAAGCGGTGCAGTGTTTCGCTCACGTTCATTTTTCTCACTGGAATCTTTTTTCTTTCGTTTACTTTCTTTGGTAGACTTTTTTGGCTGAGTTATGCCATTTTGCATGTATGGTAAACAAAAGGTTAACAGAATTGCAAAATACAGGAACCCATTGACAGTTGGAGAATTTTCAGATGAATGTGGTGGTGTCTTAACCCCCTTTTCAGCTTGCAAACTGTTTAAAGAATAGGGATTAGAGACATTTATTTCCTCAATATTAGTATCGTTATCCGTTTGAACTTTGGGGGATTCATTAATTGGCTTATCAGTGAGGGGTGTAAGGTCATTTTCTATCTCATCAGCTTGTAATTCATCAGATTTCACCTTTTCATCATTTTCAGTGTCTTGGTTCGGTTCATGTGCGAACAGTCTCCAGATGAAATAAGATTCTTTTTTCTTCTTCCCATTAGTTTGAGAATCTCTCGTCTCTGCATCACTTTCCCCTGAAGCCTCTGGTTCATCATTTTCAAAATCCTCAATCTCAGATTTCAAATATATTGTGTTGCTTCTAACATCTTTTGGACATTCAGATTTGTCCAATTTTGAGATGCTTGACCATGAAAATTGAGATTTGGGACAGGTTTCTGCTGAGTTTGTATCTGTAGAAAATGTACGACTTCTTGCACTACGAAAACATCTTCTTTTTCGAGTTACTTCATGTATATTTATACTAGATTGGTTTTGATACTCAAAGTGATGCAACAAAGCGTGGCTATCCTGGTCACTCTCTGGAGAAGTGACTATTGGAGAAACTGACATTTTTCCTTGTGGTAGACAAATTTGTAAAGGCGGGCATTACAGCATTTACATAATGTATCACTAATATATATTCTATACGAAGAAATATCAGATTTCAGAGTAATTTGATCAGCATAAATTAAAAAAACATGATAAATATTGATAAACATCATTAGACCCTTCTCTGTAATGAAAGCATGAATAAGCATCTCGAAAAATCCGAAAACAGTCAATGTGAAATAGAAAAAACAATGTTCAGAGATTTGAACAGCTGTTTAAGACCCATATTTTTGGCTCAACCTTATATCTACCCTTCACGAAAATTTATTTCCAGTTTGTTTCAAGCAAACCCACACATATGACATAATTAACCTCTTTCTAAGATTGTTCACTTTTGAATACATCAGTTGGCAACTTTTTGTTTATAGCCCACATGGAAACAGAATCCATGAATCTGAATCATTGACAGTTTGCAGTATGGCAGATTGGTGGGTTACGATACGTCAGTACCGTACGTAGGTTAGATAGGTACAGTACGGTATTCAGCTGATGGAAGGATGGGCCTTATTACATGCACTGTGGCGTAATTTTGAATAATATTGAATATCGTATTCAAGTAGGGGTTAGGAATTGGATACCGGTACCGGTATGCAAAATTATTGCGCCAAGACAACTAGAACTATGGTAGGCTACCGGTAGTCCGGTACCGTACTAAACCAGACCGCCGGACTCTCAAAGTCTTGGTTATTCTGTTACACCTTGCACTTACACAGACTGTCAGTCACATCTTTCCTCTCCCCTGGGATAAATATACTCGTATATTCTAAATTCTATCCCACAGCCCGAAAGTTTGATACTATCGTGCATTTTGTTTGTTAATTTAGGCCCAAGCCTCATTTAATTGGGCTTGTGTTTTTGTGTGCATGCTGGTGGGCAGGCACATGAGATACCTCTCATGTTTTGAACTTTTTCATAGGTTTTGCTTGCCCTCCAGAATTCTCCATTTTTAAATTATGTTTGTTATGGAGTTTTCGAAATAAACTATCTATCTATCCGTTGTCTGTTTGTGGAACACCCAGCTGCTTGTAACGATTTGATTGGTCGTTCAGTGTCACGTTATAAAGAATATCCCAGGGAAATCCCCAGGTGTCGCATATTAAGGAGGACGATGTATACAGTATATATATATATATATAACTTACATATATCACGGCTTAATTAAGTAACTCAGCAGGGAATTGAAATTTGTCGTAAAGGAATAGGTCAAGTATGAACATTGCTTAGTACGGTTGCAGGAATATTTTCTTAAAATTTTATCCAACAGTTACTTGTGGTCCTCACATGGAAGCTTCACTTCGAATACATTGCATGGAGACTTTTCCCGAGGGAACATGGCCAGATAGCTATTGCATTAGGACGCCGTGGGATGCAGACTTCTGTTATCGAGGAAAACTCAAAACCAAGTCCATGCTTCCGAAAAACAAACAATACAGTAAAAACTAATCCCATACCCGACTTGGAATGGTAACCGGACGAGAGGCCGTGGTTCGCCATATGGATAAGCCGTCTTATCGGCTTTCCTCTCCCCCGGGATAAATATGTAAATCCTATCCTATCCTATCGATACTCAAAGCATGGCAAATGAAGTATTAAGATTTCTGTGAGAGAGGTAAAGACAGTTGAAGTACCAGGAAACATTGTACACATTTCAGAATATAGTTTTTATAATTTCGGATGACATGGAATACTCTGGCACAGGTACTCAAAATACAAGCTCATGCACGACGCTTGTCGCTTATACAAGCTTGATCACGTCTGACATTCTTTTTGTTAGGGTAGAGATCGACAATTGAAGCGATATGAATAAATTATACAAAGTTTTTGAAAACACCGCCATATCCTGGTTGTAACGAAAACATTTATTGGATACGTTAGTGTACATAACGATCGTTTTACATTTTATGCTGGTACTCCTCTTCTTGTTGTTCTTATTTGTATTCTTCTTGGTATCGTTATAAAAAAAATCGCATTTTTCATTGGGTACTGGAACATTTGCTTTGAAATTTTCAGGTAAAGAATATGTATTTTGCTGGAAGGCTATCACTTTTACTCATTTTCAAATATTCCGGTGAGCAGCATGGAATTCGTTTTTTTTTGTGCTATGACGTCATCCAAATCTGCCACTAGGTAGCGCTACGTGCCCGTTTATTTGAGCATAACGCTATGGACTTTTCCCCGAGTATCGACTTCCTTGTTTACTTCTTGACATTGGCCAATCAGCAAAAGGCAAAAAGTGACATAACAATGCTCTCTTTTCGCGTCCGCTTAGACTTTTTCCTCACTCAGACAGATTTTCAAGCGTGGTCGTAAACATTACTTCTTTTTTTCTTTTTTGAACTCAATTCGCTAGTTTTCTGTTGTGTTTCGGAAACTTGAATATGAATCAGATAATTCAATGGTCACTCTGTATTCCTAGAAGTTTTAATTTAATTGCAGTAATGAAAAATTAGTGTAGAAATAGCTGTGGTAGACTGGGCTAAAATTCCTCACCGTAGTTTTGAAAAACAAATTGTTGCAAGCGATGAATCATAATGATGGTTTGAAAAACATACCCCATTTACAGGCGCCAACTCGCAAGAGGACTCTTAAAATAGCCTCGAAAATTTTGCAATGGTAAAGTATAGGAAGAATTTTTCGGGGGTCGAAGGTCGGGGAAAGGTCCATTGTATTATAAATCGGCTTTAATGGCATTATTTTACTTGTCATAATTTAAATACGACTTTGTTTATTATCTTTTCGTCTATCTTTGTAAACTTGAGGTAGTTTTAATTCTGACAAAAGTGTAAATATTTGAAACTTCACCTGAAAATTTATATAAGGTATGATTTTTCGATTATCTATAACCTGCAGTGCCAAAACGATTTTAAGTCCAGCGCTTCAACCTTCAGGCCATCGTGCCCATTCGATCTTCTAGAGCAGCGTTTCTCAAACTTTTTTGGTCACGAAAAACTTAGCCTCTTTATTTCGCCTCGCGGAACACCAAAAAATGAAAGTGTAAAATTGATAAAGAAAAATGGTGTAATGCAGCTGTTCCCGAAGGGTGCGCCACGGCGCACTAGTGTTGCCAAATGCGCCGCGGAAACTAACAGAATTGTGTTAAACATAACTAAAATATGATTGAATACGTAACATTATTGTATTCATCATAAATGTGTCATTGTTTCTTATTGTAGCCTACATGTTCCACTTTACAATGCCACCACCCTCAAAAAGTTAGGCCGACGGTGACCCGATATTGAGCGGTCGCCAGTTGGACGACAACTTCAGGATCCTGTGCACGATATGGCGACCGATTTAGTCGTCACTCAGAAGGCGCACGCGGAACACAGTTTGGGAAAAGCCGTTTCTAGAGCAGGGGTGTACAACATTTTTGTTAGCAAGCAATATAACCATACATCTAGCTGTGCAACGCAAAAAAGAAAAATTTTCCATATACACAACGGATGAAAATTCTCACAATTAAAAAATGCTATCGAGTAGCCTTACAATAATAAAGGCACTGGGCAATAACAAGAGCAAAAAATGTATAGATATTTATCAATGTGAGCGTCTTTTTACATAATCTGTCGGATTAGGATTTAATGTTTGATGTGATCTGAGTGTTGAGGGCCACAATAAGGCTGTGGCCCGCAAGCAGCCTGTTTTACACCCCTGTTCTAGTGCGTTTAGTACAAAAAGCAATAATAAGTGCGTGTTTAACTTATGTTTGCTCGAAACAAAGCCACCTCAGCTGGCAGTGGTCAAAACACTAAAAATGCATTATATGGGCAAAACACTGAAATATAAAAGGCTATTCCCTAATTATAATAATCCTGAATATCGCGCTAGGATAATAATTATAATATAATAATCGCTATAAAAATTGAGTTAAGACTCTTCAAATTACGCTCAGGACATAAAATCATTCGCAACTGCTCTGTACATTTCATTTATTTGATTTATTCCTTATTAGTCTATAGTTACTATTTGGCCAGCAAATAAATAGTCGCATATAAATTGAAGTCGGAGCTATATATTGAAGGTGAAGCTATATACGGGAAATTACACCCACATATCGTGAGGTTGAATGATATATACGTTTTGATTTCGTATGATTAACATTTTGAATTTCAATATCGGTGTGTCAGATCTTGAAATCAGCCCACGTTTTCTGGCAAATCTTTTTGTCGTTGTGCAAGATCGCAAAAAATGTGTTACACCTACATCGCATTTTTCCAGTTTAGTTTTTAATTATTTGGTCAATGTTTACCCCCTTTTCTAGCTAGATAATAGCCAGTGGAACTTTTGAAATGTATTTCCAGCCCTCGTAAATAAAGAAATAAACTTTGTTTTCGGTTAAATTTTCTCATGTCAAATAGTATTTAGGTAGAATTATGTAATAGTTATAGTTTATCCGTCGAAGGGCAATAGATGCGTAAGTGCACATAAATGAGAATTCAATAAATACTGTACAAAATTCAATAAATAGGCAAAAATTTTATTAATGGAGTTCACGATGCAAATAATGTTTAATTAGTTTCACTCCACAAATTTTTCACAAATATTCATTTCAGGTACTTTTAATGGTACTCCTGCTGTAGTGTATGTACCCGGTTGGGGTTAGGCCATAATTTTATTCCGATTTTTCTTATTTTAGTTCTATTACGAGTTCGGGGACAGTTTGTGTTAGCTAAGTGAATATACTTGGCTTCAGTCCATTTACACAACTTCATGCGAAGTAGGCAAACAAAATTAGTTACCTCCAAATTGGTACACACACTTCTGGAGAGCCGTTTTAATTTTGTGCTATTGACGCAACGAGGAGTTTACGATCAATTCCAATGACAGCCAAACAAAACAATGCGTCAGGGACGCTCTCGGGACGCCCTGTTCGCATACCTGAAAGCACTACAGCAATATCACGTCACTACTTTCCATTGTTTGGATCCCGGTTTCCAGGAAACAAATACAACAATAGCAAAGACTATAAAGGTTATTCGTAGAATGATAAGTTTTTTTATTTGTTCTGTATAAACAATCACAGATCCTTATACTGTTATAGGTTGATGAAGTTACACTCGGAAGAATAGCTGTT